GCTTTAGTAAAGAGGCTTCTGGCTGCCCTCCTATCAAATGGTACACGAAAATACAGCATTGTTTTATCCTGGTGGGTCGGGATTGTACGTAAATACAACGAATTAAAAGCATATGACAAATAAAACAAAGCCGCCCGTTTGACGGTGGCAACTGATGACGCATATAGTCACTTTTTAACTTCGAGGATCATTTTTTAAATGTGGTGGTTTCAGTGTTACCTGCAGAGCAGTCCTTGCTGAAAAGTGGCACTTAGTTGTAAACAATGTTGGACGTCTGGCTCTAAATCTACAAAAATGTACCCGCACTGTTTTAGAGCCACATACAGCTTTGAAGTGGCAAACACTTCAAGCCATGGCTCATCATCCCTTTGTCTTTGCTTTGATTCGTGCCGCGTAGGAAGTACCCGCAAATGTTTTTCGACACGCCCATGTCGGACATAGAATCGCACACTTTCATGTGGATTCACAGTTATAGGCTTCAACATGCGCTTGGGTGGGGGTTCAAACTGACCCCCCAAAGGTTTTTCCAAAATGGTTTCCGAACAGCTCGGTTTAGCCGCGCCAAATTTTGCATAGCTGTAGACATCTAAATAGCGGATCGCTTGACAAAATAATTTAGATGTACCTTGCAAGGTCGCTGACCTATGGCAGGTCAAAGCCAAGCCATGGTTTCAGTTAAAGCAATTTCTAGGGAGTCGTTCAATCTGATACAACAACGGAGTGTTTGACAAAGCCATACATCTCTGAAATGCTTTCTTAGGCACCACAAATCTTGAATGAGCAAATTACGTTGACCTAAGGCCAGGTATAAAGGTCAGACCAAGGTCAAAACCAACCTGATTTAATACTCTAGAGCTTGCTGTATGGGATAGTTTCTGGTGCTCATTTCGAATTTATTGAGAGCGGGAACCGCATAGGCCAGCATAGGTCATGGACCTAAGATGACCCCGGTCGACATTTTTGGCCTTGTCTGACCTTATTTGACCTAAAAGTTGTAACCTAGGAAACTTAAACTTTGAACTAAGTCAGTTCACGTATAGGCCAACACATCCTGTAAATTTGGTGTATTTAGCTCTCTTAGTTCCCGAGATCTCAGGGGGGGGGGTCAAATTGACCCCCACCCGAGCGGAGGGTATCTAGGCGGCCGCCCGGGCGCGTGTGATCCCTCACCCCGCTAAGGGGAAGGGCGATGAACCCTTACCCCCTTCCAAAGTTTCTGGGGACATCTCCCTGGAACGTGCAATCTCACCGAATGTTTCGCTATCCTATGGTCAATCATTATGTGTGTTTTGACACCACAAACGTTTCTTCATCAGTTTGAGTTCTGAAAAGCAAAGTTGCTGTCAGATTTCTGCATGGTGATCCACGGCTGGCGCGGGCGGCGGACGGCAACCGATGGATCCGCCGATGGCGCACGGCGACCAACACTGTTTCGTCAACAGAGCCATACGTGATGAACGTATGTTCAAAATCCTATACATATCCATATATATATATATATATATATATATATATATATATATATATGGCTGTATGCAAAATTAAACAAGAAAAACACTTGTCAGGTGTATGCTGTTAAGAGGCATTGTTAAATAAGCATGCGTACGCAAAGCTGAATGACGTTGTTTTCAGAAGAAATGACATTTGATCTGTTCTAGTGGGGTAAAATACGAATCGACAGGTATAAAGCTGGCTACCAATCGCGAGACCTCGTTGAGGTCAATACGCTGGATTTTCTGCGGGACTGTTTGTTTCGTAGTTTTGTAAAGACAGGGGTCACATTGACCTCACCCCATCTTCAAGAAAAGCGGCAAATTTGGGGCAAAGGTGAAACGACGCAGTACGATGGGGTATTCGAATACTCTCCTGGCCTATAAATGCCGCCGCACACAAATACATCGGTTAGCTCATAAAACTGGTGGCACAGCTAATTCGTAAGGAACGAAATGATCAGACAGCCTTTGTCAGCTGGGAGCGCTGGTTCCAGGCTTAAAACATTGAGCAGACAGCGTCCAGTCGAATGGTGTCAAGAGCTGACTAGTCAATCGCACATTCCAACCACTAATGCCATGAACGGAAAAAGCTCTCCGCATGCTAAAAGTCCCTACAGACGGTTGTAAACTGGCTAATTACCTTCAAAACAGCGAAAAATCGAGTCGAGTCGCCCATGTCGGACTCTTGACACTAAAGCTGTGGATAAGTTAACGCATGACCCTCTGGACCTGTGTTCCTTGAACACCAAGCAGGTGAAAGAAACTGCATCTGATCAGTTGCATGCAACCGCCAGAAACTCCGACCAAGATTATAGAAGACCCTGGTTAGCGGTGTGCTCGGTGCTGACGGCCTACCTGGCCAGCCGGCCCGCCTAGCCAGCCGGCCCGCTGACCGGTAGCCTCGCGTCCCTGAAGGGATGCGAAACCCTCACTCCCCACCGCTGAGATCCTAGCCGGCGACCGGTCAACGGGACGCCCGCAATTACCGAGGGAACTCCAAACGCAACCAATTATCCATCAACCAGTGAAACGTAAATAGAGGGCTCATTCCATGCCCTTGGCGCGCAAACTTCCAACACGCCAACTGCCCCGAGTGACATGACCGTGAATCGGTCAATGTTGACGTGAGCTAAGCTCGCCCACGCGCAGTCCTTGTGGATGAGATCCATGCCAGCTGTCCCTCTTGTTTGCACACGCGGTGGTATAACCGAACCAGAAGCCATACGGCACGAAAGTTATTTCGCGCTTAGTCAGGATAATAGATTTGGGCAGCCAATCTGGACCCCAGATGGGGCCCAGGCATCAGCCCGCTTGCATCCCATGCTGGCATGTGGCCTGCTTGCCCACCTGCGGCCCCTTGTGGATCCGAGTCTATGGCGCCCACCCTTATTGCAAATTGGCTTGTTCACGATAAAAATATCAAACCATGGAGAATAAAGTAAAAAAAAAATAATGCAGTAGTGTAAAATATATCAGCATATGGGCAGCCCATCTGGGTCCGAAATGAAGCCCAAAGACCAGCCCACCTGCGGCCCATGTTGACATGGCCCGACTTGCCCACATGCATCCCATAGGAACCCCAGCTCGTGCTGCTCTCTTTTGTTATGTGCTCGTTTTTGCATGATGAGGAAAAATCAAACGTGAGAGAACAAAGCAGCAAGCCTAATGCACCTGCGTCAAATATGGTGGCGTGTAGGCAGCCCATTTGGGTCCCAGATGGAACCCAAATACCAGACCACGTGGAACCTACATGGACGCGAGCCCAGCTAGCTCATGCTCAGCCCATATGAACCCCAGTCCAGCCCACTTTCACGGGTAAAATAATTGTGCACGAAATGGTAAAACCTCAAAACAATTTTGAAAATGATATACATAATTGTGCATGCAAAAACTTTATTGCGTATGTAACATATGGGCAGCCCATCTGGATCCAGCATGGAGTCTGAAGACTATCCCACCTCCGGCCCATATTGACATGAGCCCAACTTACCCTTATACATTCCATATGATCCCCAAACCTTTGCTGCTGTCCTTTGTTGTGTGCTCCTTTGAACATCATAAGAAAAAATCCAACGCGTTAGCACAAGGTAACAGTTCAAATGCACCTGGGCTAAATATAGTAGCGTATGGGCAACCCATCTAGGTACCAGATGGAGCCCAAATGCCAGCCCACCTGCAGTCTACATGGCCATGAGCCCAGCTAGCCCGTGCTCAGCCCATATGGATACCAGTCCAGGCGGCAGTCTCATGTTTTAGTAGATGGCAAAACCCAGACAATAAAAACAAGTGGAATGCACACCAATATTGTGTGTATGTGGAAACTTTATTGCGCATATAAAATATCGGCAGCCCATCTAGATACCAGCCCACTTGCAGCCCATGTTGGCAATAGCCGAGGTTGCCCAATGATGGCCCATATAGATCACCGCAATGCAAGTATTCCTTCCTTGTGAGTTATTTTTCTTGGTGTGATAAATTCCGACGGGATAGTGCAAGGGACGGACAGATTTGGTGCATGCGAGAAAAAAATGACGTGGGTGCCCCATATGGGACCAAGCTGGAGCCCAGTAAAAAGCCCAGCTGTAACCCGTGCACACACTAACCCAGTTGTCCCACGTTTTGCTCGTGTGGGTCCCATTTGGGAATGCTGGCTGGGTATTTACTATTTATCCTAGAATTTGATGACCAGAATGTGTGGATAATTTTAGGAGGGGCCCCCAAACTCTAAGGGGCCCCCACAACGTTGCGTGACCCCCTTGATGACATCTTGGATCCGCCCCTACCACCGCACACCAGTTCACAGCCTCACTGCCCCGTCACACGCCGCTCCCGTGATCTTGTGCTTCTTTCAGCCGCAGGTACCTTCACGGTAGATATCTTCCATAACCAAATCGTTGGCAGTTATGACAGTGCAGTGGGTTCGGGATGAAAACTGGAACAGAGTAGCAAATGTGGCCAGCGATGATACTCCAGGAAGGTATTTGTATTCCACCGTGAGCACAAGCAAGCTGGTATGTTGCCTCTGGCCGTCGTTGACAGTTGTCATACGTCGAACCTCTACGTGACTGCGCTTGATATCCACGTAGTGGTCCCTGGGAGCACATATCCCTATCAAATTTATGATATGCATATCTATGAGCGCGAATAAATGTTGCCACACAAAGTTCCGGAGAGACACATGCAAAGATGCATATTGAGAACATACGATGTTGCTTTAGCCAACAAATTTTTGCGTGCTTGCAGGGCGCTAGACTCGGTATTCATATAACAAATTGGGCTTTTCTTTCCCCCATTGCAAAATCGTGCATGCACGCCTGCTTTGAATGACAGTTTTCTCCTGGTCAATTCAAATCGGCATAAAGGATGATGTTTTCTGTTTACTGAACCAGTTGTGGGGGGGAACTGAATGCTATTTTAATGACAGATATTTCATGAACCTTGAACTCCCAGAAGCCTTCGGAGTTTGTCGCAGAAGCGCAAATGTAAGGCCAGGCTAAACTAGCAGTAAGTCGACAGGAATCAGGAGTGCTATGCTTGAGTGTTAGTGTGTTGGGGTGGGTCTGTGTGGATGCCCTGCTTTTGAATTGTAAGTGTGTTCTCGGTTCGGAATTTTGCCAGACCTGACATCACGCGCTGTAACAGCAGTGTAGTGTCTCGTATGATGCGCTTGCTGACTGATGCATTTTGCTGAGATGTTGAAGCCTCCTCATGAGAGATGATTTTCTGCTTTGTCACGGAACCAATGTGAGCAGCTTAGTTACCTAATGTTTTTGTGTGCTGTATTCTATGCTCTTGGTCCTATTGTGATTGCAGTTGGTTGCTCTAAATCAGATACAATCATACTCTTGCTTGCATGTTTTGCATGTTTGCATGTTTCTGTCTTGCTCACCATGTTTACCTTTGTAATGGGTGGTGTATGTATTGTAGTGAATGTAATATGTGTCGTAGCAATGGAATAGCTGAAAAGATAAGGCAACTGTGATGGTGGATCATTTTTTGCCCTTACATTACCATGTGGGTAACATTACTTTTGCAAATGGTAGAAGAGGATACTGCTCTTCCTGTCAATATTGGCACCATGCCTGGCGTTCTGCCTCAGTTTGTGTAAGTGTCAGTTCTTATTGTGATGTTTTTTATCAGGGTCACATTATTTAATGGAAATTGTCAACATCAGTTGCATTTACATGTGCCATTTACAATTGGTGTTTATGAAATGCGTGCAAATTTAGCAGAACTGTGGATGGGATACAATATGCTACCAGCACATCACATCATTTGTTTGTTGTGTGTTTTGCAGAATGTGATGCCCATGTTCAGCTTCTCTGCCTATTCTGGTGCATAACATCCAGGGTACACCAAGGATGCATGTTGAGTGAGTTGTGTGCATCATAACTGCTATTAGATCTGAAAACATGTTAAAATTGAGAGGAAGATCTTGAGATAAAGGTTGGTACCTATCTACTGCAATACTTAAGCTTAGAATAAAGTGGTTGGCCTGCTAGCTGATGACATTTTGAAGCACTCATTTCAGAAACTATCAAGCAAAGGCAAGTAATAAATATGGATGCATGATCCTTGCCATTTCAAACTGCTTCTGACACCTCTTGCCATTCTTAGGCCCTGCTAGATATACTGGGATATAGTAAGACACTATCCTGGTCTCCTGTGTCAAATATAGCCAACATACAAACATTTCATGTTATCTCTACTTGGCATGCATAGCAGATAAAGTTCTTTGCACCAGAATTTCACCAAATGTACAAGAACCTCACCAAGGGCTGATTATGGACCTGCTGGGTTTCCAGATCCCTCCAGCAAAAGAGAAAGCCTGTACCTGATACTATAAATGGCTTAAAGTTATCTTAATGTCTCTAGGTCATCACCTTTAGGTCAATTAAGTTTAAAACAAGTGCAAACTCAAAATCAGTGTCAGAAGTTCCCTTGTGCCCCTTTATAGAACCAGGTTAAACTAAGACCTTTTTCTAAGGAAAAGGCCACTGGTGGTCATGTCAAATCAATGGCTTTAACCTACAACAGGCCAGAGTGACCAAAAACTTTCAAGATCATTTTGATATTTGAAATGAACAGCAGTGTCCAGAACTAATCTAGGTGGCATGCTTCTAACAGCAAAAGGTTGGTCATTGCCATTTTAGGTCAATTTCCATTCCTGACTTTCATGAAGTCAAGAAATCTGAAGTGGGCATTAAAACTTCATAGCAATGTAAGTTTTCTGGTGGAAAGTGGTTTGGTTTTAATATTGATATGACCTTCATTTCTGACCCACAGTCAATATGACTAGTTGATCCTAATGTCATTTGCTGTTTTGTCTTGGAAACCATCTCAGAGTTGTATGACTTCATCTAAACACTCTGTTGACACAGCTTGGAAGATTCCCAAAGAATTGCCTTTGCTGGTAACCATCGTCTGGCTGACCTGCCACACGCCAGACATAAGAAGGCTTGCCGTTTAATTTTTCCTGACATGATACAGCCTGTGTTTTTAGGACATGCTGCCTCTGGGGAGCAACTACTACAGGTGTCCAAGACTGGATGTGATCCAAGGCTATCTTTAATTTCCATGCCGTAAGCTGCAATCTCTTCTCAGGCATGAACCAGCACATGTGGTGAGTTTGGTCTGGCTGCATCATAAACCAAAGTGTTTTGTGCTGCCTGGCAGGTTTGTTGTGGTCCCTGTTAAGCAATTGGAATCAGATCTGATTGTAAGGACCTCAAAAACTGCTTGTGCCATAAAGTAAAAAAGCTCATTAAAATTTTGATAATCAATTTTAAAGGGACATTGCATTGCAATGTCACTCCATGCAATGGTATGATTGCTCACAAGGGCAAGTCTATTGTAGACATAGCTTATAAAGAATGCCCACACCAGCCTTATCACAGCACTTCAGTGAATTTTGCTGAGTGCATGTGAGTTCATTGTCAGACTTCTAACAATTCATCTCATGGCTCAGATCACCAACCACCATGTCATCCAAAACTTGTTGTTGACCTGCAGTCTGCAAAGGCCCACTGTGGCCAGCAAAGGCCCACTATGATCCCCAGTTGTGATGTTCATGAGGTGCTCTCTTCTAGGTACCCATGTGACGACACTCATGACGAGGTCCGGGTGGCGATGCCAGTCTCTCCGGAGAGTCGCGGAGCATACGAGTTCCGGTCTCTGACCCCAGCAGACATCGACACTGTGAGTGGCATGACCAGCTGGTGTGAAGCCGTAGCAAGGAGGCCAGAACTCCAGCGAACAAAACCAAAGGAAATCGGCCACACCACTGCCATGTGTCATTTCCGTGCATGTGTTTGCTGTGCTGCCATGTAAGGTGCCCAAGTCATGCAGACTACATGTGTGTACCTATAAGACGCCTCGACCGTAGAGAGACGAGCGAGGCGATGACCGATGTGAGAGCTCTCTGTTATGGTGCAGGTGACATCAGCAACTATGTAAATGGAGTCAGACACCTTTGACAGCTGGTGTCGATGAGTTGAAAAGTCTCTTAGGAACTCAAAAGGCGTAGGTCCAATAAAACTGAACTCGCGCGCCAACCCACATGTTGTTACCCGGTCAGACTAATGTCAGCACCTCACTGTGGCCAGGCTTGGAAATTTTCATTGACAGCATGGATGAGCTTGTCCTTTTTTTGCCATTTTGGCAATCACTAGCGATGTATTTCAAGGTGCGCAAATATGCTGTTGGGTGTTGACACAACACGCAGGGCAACACGCCTATGTAATTTTAGGCCCAATCGGTCTCGAGTATCTTTGTCGGTTTCCTCCAGAGTCCTGTGTTAATAAATGGGCTTCAAAAAATGTGGCGCAAAAAAGGCCGCACGCCAGCGCGCGGCCTTCTGGCTTCTGTACCGATTGATCCACGCTTGTCAGCACCATGGTCTGTTTTTTTCCTTCGTAGAAATATGCTCAGTCTTGTGCCACTACGATGTGGGGTGTGTGAGATCTGGGCCCGGTTTTGACCTGTATTCTCAATGATTTGTTTTCGCAGTTCGAAAGTTTTAACTTTCCTGCGTTTCTTGAATTTCCTGCGTTTATCTTTTTTAAGTGGCCGAACATTTCAAACGAGAGAGAGAGAGGGAGGGAGGGAGGGAGGGAGGGAGGGAGGGAGGGAAACTACAGGGTCGTGGAGGATTACAGTTTTGTTGCTTGCTGATTCTGTCGCCCGGTTTACAGGTGCGAAAGCTATGCAAGGAATGGTTCCCCGTGGAGTACCCAGACAGCTGGTTCAGGGATATCTGCACCAACAGCAGGTTCTACACACGCGTCGCCACCTATCAGACCACCATTATTGGTTTCATTGTGGCCGAAGTGAAGATATATGCTCTACTTACGAAAGAGGTTCGTATTTCTACTGTTTTACAATTATGACTATTTTTAGGGCTATTTGTTTTTACTTTTTGGCTATTTTCGACGATTTATTTCGATGGTGTATTCTGTATTACACTGATCGACTTATGCTTGTGTCTTTGGGTCTCTGTTCCAAGTTCCTTGGCTAAAGTGTCCATTCCAGTATCTTGCTGTAAACTCTGTTACCACGCAATTGTTTCGATTAGCCATTCACCTTTTGGGGTTAGGTGTCATCCTCTATGGGCCAGGCGTCGCCCCTTCCGTGTCAGATGTGGTCCCCTCTTCCCCTTAATCACCTTCGCTCCATATATCGCCCCCGTGCTCCATATATCGCCCCTACGCCCCATATGCGGCGCGCCTGTCCCAGACGTGGCCGTCTCGGTCGACGCTGACGGCTGGTCTGTGTGCGTGTGTGTGCCGGCAGGAGCGGAGCATGCTGGCAGCCTCCTTCCCTCGTCGCACCCAGATGGCCTACATCCTCAGCCTCGGGGTAGGTGGGAGCGGGATCTGTGCAGGGGTCTCCCACGGACCTAGCCTCCGGCGGGGGAGGGGGCGATGTTGAGTGTGTAAAAATCCCGACATAGACAGTGCACAAATAATGTGCTGCAAGCGTCGGCAGTTATCTGCCTGGCACTGTCTGGAGCCTGCTCTCGTAACTGACATCTTGTCTATTGCCGCATCACGTATCACCGTGTCGCCGTACCTCTATCGCCCGCGTCATACGCGACGGGGGATGACCCTGGCCGCATCAGGCCCGGCGGGGCTGACCCTGGCCGCGTCGGGCCGCGTCAGGCCTGGCGGGGCTGACCCTGGTCGCATCGGGCCGCGTCAGGCCTGGCGGGGGCCGACCCTGACCCCTGTCCACCCGCGGCACACCTGGCGGGGTTGGCCCTGGCCGCGTCGGGCCGGAGCGCGTGTGCTCCTCTGGCGGACCGCTCGCCCGGTCCGCCGGCCGTGCCGTGCCGACGGGCGTGTGCGGCGGCGTGGGCGTGACTGGCGCGGCTGGCGTGCCCGCCGCCGCCTGAGCGGGGTCCGTCGCCGTCGGCAGGTGTCGGCCGAGTATCGGCGGCGCGGCGTCGCCTCCCAGCTGCTGGGCCTGCTGCTGAACGAGCTGCGCACGGCGGAGCACGCCGACTGCCGCGCCGTCTACCTGCACGTGCTCACTTCCAATAGCTCGGCGCTGCGCTTCTACGAACGCCACAAGTTCAGGTCAGGCGGCGGCCGGGTCGAGAGGTGCACTGTGCCAGGCCTGTCAAATGTTGGGATGAGTGCGTGATACCTGCGGTTAAGTTCAATCTAAGTTCAGTAAGTTAAGTCAAGTTGGATTCGATTTAGTGACGGAGGTCTAGGTTGTGACGGGTGGGGTGGCGTGCGTTGTCCGCGATCCATGCAAGCAGTTGACATGCAGGTCACATGTCTGATGGCTTTAAAGTCGGGGTACATACTTTCACTCTGACCAGCGGGCATGCTTTCTCCCATGCTGGGACGTGTGCCCACTCTGTGGCAGACTCGTCCTACCCCACCAACGACACTTCGTAGCTCTGGCTCACGTCCGTCGAACCGCCGCCGTTGCAGGCTGCACACATTTCTCCCGTACTTCTACAAGATAGATGGCAAGTACCGCGACGGGTTTCTGTACGTGTACTACATCAACGGCGGCCACCCGTCGTACGGCGCGCTCGACTACGTCGTATACGCCCTCTCGCTGGCGTACGACTTCAGCCCGTGCGCGCTGCTGAAGCACGCGCTGCGCATGGCGCAGCGGCTAGTCAAGTACGTGGTGCCGCAGGGCAAGCGGGTCACCGAGACCATCGCCTGCCTGTCGTAATGGCGGCCAGGCGCGCGCCGCTCCGCCAACCGGCTCGCCCGCCGCCCGGGACTGTTGGCCGCCGCTCATGCCCGGTGCGGTGGTGACGCGTCGGCTGGGACACCGCGCCAGGGCAGCGCGCGTGCAGGGACGGCCAAGGCCCGGCGAACGGCTGACGCCGGTGTGTCGCGCGGCCGCAATGCGGGCGGGCTCGGCGGCGTCAGGTGCGCCGGCGCAGCCGCTCGGACAGTGGCGGGGACCAGGCGTGGTCCGTGCCGCGCTGCTGGCCGCGCCGTCCCCGCGTGCGGACGCTCGCTGGTCGTGACCAGCGGCGGTAGGGTGGCGTGAGAGGCTAGACCAAACGGGTGGGGCTGCCGTGGACGACTGTGAAGCATCGAAAAATCACTGCTGTGACCCGCCGTCGCGCAAGATTCGGAATTGGGGACCGCTGTCGCGAACTAGTCGTACACCTTGTGATTGTGTTGATTTAATGTCACATTTTTTATTAGACAAAAGCGTTGATGCCCCACCTGACAAAGAATATAGAATTTGCCACTTCACTGCAATCAAACGGGGATGCAATCGGCTTGGAGCGCTCCAATCTCGTGCGCACCCGATCCAGTAATTAGCAGGGATTCAATTGAAGTGAACTGTACGTTGCGTCGCTTCAGTGAAATGTATCTCGAATTATGTGCCTTCTCCGCGTTTAAACTTTTGTCAGCAGTGTTGGTGGGACTGACGACGGTCAGATCAATATCTTCCAATGTGTGATTGAAGGTTGCTCGACAGGTCCGCAGATCCGCACCGCCACTAGTCACCAGTTGTTACGCATGTTGCAGGCCTGCGTTTGGCTCCGCTTCATGATGTCAGTAATTATGGAAACGATAGCGAACATTTCCTGCGCTTGCAGCATGGTGAGGTAGACATACCCGCAGGGGGCAGGCGAGTATTAGCTGGCTTTCAGACCGGACGTCAGGCGGCGTTGTAAGCTCGTGTCACTCCCCGGCCCAGGGCCCACCTTGTCGGCGCGCGTTCCGTGTGGTGTGCTCGCCCCGCGTGGATGATTGGGACCGAGGGCTGCAGGCGACTGCGCGGGCCCGCAGTCCGGCCCGGGGCGAGTTGGTGATTGATCTCTGGCAGCAGCGAGGCCGTGGGGCGAGACCGCGCCGACTTGAGCGGGCTCGAGATCCGGCGGTGTCTGTATTATGTGGCCGAATGTGTCCCTGCGAACTCGCTTAACTGCATGTCCCTGCCAGCTCCGCGCCTGCTGTCGGGGCTGTCGAGATTGCGTCGAGATGTGCGTGCGAGGTGGACAGGTCGTGACGGGTACGCCAGGCGCATGCGCCGTCATTGGCCACGGAATGCCTGTCGTCGTTTGCGTGCCGTGCGGCAAACTGTACTCTTGCCCATGGTCGCCCTTGATTTTTCACCCCACAGTTGTCACAATACACAGGCAGAAAACAACGACCCGCAGTCTGCTGTGTTGTCCAAGTGTGTGTCATGTGGTCTTGCTGGGCGTGATCACCGGTGCGCTTTCTGCACGCAAGGCGCCGATACCAAAGTGACCTGTATCGAGGTTAGAAACAGCGTTTGGTTGTTATATAGGAAAATAGCAGGCTCATTTACATGCGCTCGGGTGGCGGTCAATTTGCCCCCCCCCCCCCCCCCAAGGGTTTTCCGGAATGATTTCCGGACGGCGCGGCGTAACCGCGCCAAATTTTGCAGAGGTGTAGATAAACAGCGGATTGATTAGGATACAAAATTTAGATGTACATAGGGGTGCCGGTAGTGTAGTGGTTAACACGTCTGCGTTGACCAATGCGCGTCTGGGAAACCAGGGGTACGGGGTTCGATTCCCCGCGTTGTCCGCCCTTCCTGCCAGGGCGAGAGGCAGGTGACGCCATATACCCTCAGCTGCTGAGTGCGTCGTAAGGCCCCAATGACACACACTTTTGGATGTACATTGTTAAGTCACTGACTACGGCAGTCAAAGTCGAGCCATGTATTCCGCGAAATCAATTTCTGGGGAATCGTTCAATCACATGCAACCACAAGATGTTGGACGAAGTCATGTATCTCTGAAATACTTTCTTAGGCAACACAACAATTAAGTTAACAAATTCCATTAGTCTAGGGTCATGTATAAAAGTCAGACCAAGGTAAAACAACCTGATTTATTACTCTAAGGCTTGCTGGGACTGGTAGTTTCTGGTGCTCAATTCGAATGTATTGGTATCAGAACTGTGCTATATTCCTTTTATTAATCGTTATACTACTACTGCCTAGCACAATTTTTGTCGCTTATTCAAATGCAAAACTTACAGAAGTTTTGCACGATTTGGGTCACCATGACTTTCAAAGGGTCAAACAAGGTCACTAATCTTACATGAACATGTGACCTCTTGCCTAGAACATGAGACCAGGTTTGGGACCACTTTGGACATGAACTTGGGGTTTGAGCTCATTTAACCTTATCTGACCCGAAATTCATGGCCTGGAAACCTCAAACTTTGACCCAAGTGAGCTTGCGCACATGCGAACACGCCCCGTGACTTTGGTGTTTCTAGCTCCTTGGTTTCTGAGATCTTAGGAGGGGAGCTGCGGCTGGTTTTCATGCATGCAAAATCGCACGAATGGTTATTTGTGTGGTTAAAAAGTAACACTTTATGCCATAAAATATCTTGTGTTTTTTGTGCCTGTTATCGCATCTGAAAGGCTGATGGTATTAGAAGTTTCCAGTCTTCCTGATCGAGTTTTGATTATTTCGGTATATAGCTGAACCTCAAGCATAGCTCAATTGAGTGACCCTCAGTAACTGTGCTATTTCGCTGAGATCGGGACGTTGGTGCGGTTTCGCTTGCAGGTAAAGTGTTGGATGGTGTAATGACAGTAAACCAGCAAGATTTGTGTAGGATTTATGTCGTATGTGTATTTATGATTGCACTGCTTATGTGCACTTTGGTATCATTGTCCTTGGTTTTGCAGGTTCCTGCTGATTTCATTGAATGGTAAACAGTGCGCTTAGTTTGCCTTCTCCGTCTTGACTTTCTTTCGACCTCTGCAGAGGGGGGGAATAGGTGGACAATGATAGGGTTGATTTTGTGATGAATACTCTATCTGCTCTGGCAGGCTGCCTCAATGCCTTCAAACTTTATGGGAACAAGTGTTTATGCTGTTCACTTAACGTGGCTGGGTTTTGCACAGTACACACCGACATGTCATAAACTTTCCGGTGTAGTGCACGAGGTTGACAATATGTAGTGTCTAGATTTTACTTTATAGCACTATTGCATGCGGTTATTCTTGTATTGTTATCGGTATTGGTGTTGCTATGTACAAATGTCCCAATTTTTTAAAGTTTATTTTTATCTTGAGGCATTCTGTGTGGCATTGCTATAATCATAAGTATTTGAGAGGATCAGATGTAAACCTTAAGGTTTTCTATAACCCATACCTGCACCATTTATATGGGTGCTTATATGTTATTATTTCTGTGGATGTTTTGTTTGTGTTGTTACATTGTCTAAAGCCTTGCAAAACAGGTAATTGGAATGTTTGAAATATTTGATATTTTGGATAAATTGTGTGTGTAAAACCACACATTGTTTTGTCTCAGCATGCTTGCTTCAGGATTTCTGTGGTAGATCCAATTTGGCTGTAGCTACATGCTTTAGCTCATTGTGTATAATCATGCTCTATTCCATTAGAAACATATGATATAATTGCATGGCATGCTGTTAAAAGTGTTTGAATGTGTTCCTATAGCTATCTTTTAATCACGTAAGCTTGCCTGCTATTTGCACAAAAGTGAATTTCAAGGATATGTGTGAATACATAGGTACTAGGAGGGATTTGTTCTTTATAAGTTGGTGACTTATGTTGGTTGACTTATGTTGGTTGGCATGTTGGGTGACCAAAGTTGGTGACTAATGCTAGTCAGTTAATTTCTTTGAAACTTTACCAAACCTGCCATTCAGTTTTGATAGAACATAAGACAGTAGTATAATAGGAGGTTAGGCTGCTTTTAGTGCCATGAAACAGAACATATCATTCTATTACTTCATACAACTTCAGTACTTATCAGATAATTTATTGTGTGTGCCAGGCTACCATAAAACCAGTCTGCTGAACAGGGGTGCATTTCACATCCTTGGTTTCTATATTGAGAAAAGGGAATGACAAACCACTTTAATGCTTATTATCTTTCATATATATCTCTCTGCCTTCACCTTTCACCCTGTCCTGTTCACAGCAAGATGAAATTCATGTTTAGTAGACCATGCCATGCTAGGAAGCCAAGCATCCATGCAGCAACAGCAAGCATCTGGCCATATCATCGTCATCGAGCCTTTTATGCACATGCAGTACTCGTGCTTTGGCTTTATTCAACAAAATCTTACATCACCTTTAACAAGGATCACAAGTACCCAACTACCAACATAGATCATGCTGTCAACCATGCCTTATAATGTACAATATGTGTTTGAAAGCACTCACCATAACTTTCTTCCATTTTTTCAGCCAAAATGTCATCCTCAGAAGAGAAAGACACTGCTAACATTCCAGAAGATGCAGAAGAAGCAAGTGATGACTTCAAAAAACCTGAGGTATTGCATCTTATACTTAGTACTCTATGGCATTTTCATGTTGCTGTTTCAGGTGATAGATAAACATGACATTTATAGGACATGGTCATGGACATGGCCATTTTTCTGGCAACCTATTTCATTGTGTCAAGTTTGGAATTTGGCCACTATCCAGTAGGCACCAACATTCTACCAGGCTCACAAACCTTTTGTGTACTAGGCTCCCAACTTCAGTCATGACAAATGTTATACACAACATGTAGCCTTCTGAATACAGACAGACCCAGTGCAGACAAAAAAGGTTGAAGCCACTTTATACAGAAACCAACCACAAGAGCAGCTCAGTCTGGTATAGCTCAACTGCCTCATGGCTATGTGCAAAAAGTCTTGAGGTTCAATCAGGGATGCTAAATGTGTTGCTGGACCCCCAAAATTGTTATTACTATTATAGGTAGAATCAAGGCTACACCTTCTGGGTGTAGCAATCATAATTATATTGCATATGTGTGTTGACATAATGGCTGTTTGCCACATTATATCCCTTGTCTTATAAAAGCCCCCTTATGAACAAATTGACAGGTTCCAAGAGAAAAGACTCCTGTGCTTGCATTATGAATATTGAGAACAGTCCAGACAGATGCTTTCAAAATGTAAGCAATCCCAGAGCCAGATTACTGCTGCAGGGCTTTGCACTGTAACATTGTTTTGCCCTATTCCTGTGCAGGATGCAGTCAGTCCAGGTTTTCTGTGTACAGTTTCTGAACTGTTTGAAACAGAGCAGTATTACAAACTATCCATAACTGCCCCTTGTACACATGCCCCCAGGCACCATGCCCAACTTAATTGATGGTTTCTTAATCTGGGTTTCAGTGCAGTGTCTGTTGAAGTAGAATGTAATTTGGAGAGGTGTGCAAATTATCATTGATGATGCATGCCACACCATGTATACAAGTCACTGGTTTTCATGCCTGTTATGTACACAGACTGTTGAGGTGGCTGTGAGGGAATCATAATGTTGTCCCAGAAGTGTGAAGTGGTAATGCCTAAAGGTAGTTTCATCCATTGTTATTCTGTGTCAGTATCAAAATGAGCGATTGCTTTCTCGTCCAAAACCTGTGCAGAATGTCCACACTGATGAAATATGTCATGAGCTGCGTTGGCCGAAAATTACCTTCATTCTGATAGATGTCACCCATGTTAAAGGTTTTGTGCCGAACTTGTTTGCAGGTACAGTAGAACACTGCCTCGTTGGAGACCACTTGCCATCCGATTTGTGCATGGGTTTATCAGGTTCGGGGTGGGCTAAATGCCACCATGTCCAGGTCGCGGGTATCGCGTAGAAAGAGGCCGAAAGCTTAGGCGGAAAGACAGTTGGAAAAGGCTACATGTTGGTGGTGGGAGCTTGGCGTTTATGGGGCAGCAGCATTATGACCGCTTACCGCCCACGACAAATGAAATGGTCTTCCTGCTTGTGTGTAATGCCCAGACGAATAACGTTATGAAACCTGGAACACGCATGTTTCAGGTTTCATAACGTTATTCGTCTGGGCATGTGTTTCAGAAAGACAATTGCAGTTATTGAAGTTGCAAGCATAATAATGAAGTTATTGTGTAAGCACTATCACAAGGATTTCTTTCAGGTGAACCCGTTGCTCGCGGAGGAAGCCAAACTCAAAGCCAAGTACCCCAATGTCGGCCGGCCAATGGCTGGTCACTCAGCATTCCTGCAGAAGCGTTTGCAGAAAGGGGTAGGTAGTGAGCTTCTGGGCTGTGTGTGCCGTGTTGGTGACACTCATGTTGAACATATTTTATAGTGGGTCAGCATTTCTTTAAAGTAATTTCGTTTTTGATCTGCTCTTTTGAGATATTCAATGTTTG